GATGGTGATGCCAATAGTGATGATAATGATAACAATGTTTACCTGTAGATGGAGGCATCAGTATGAGCTTCCATTGGGATCAGTCTTTGGAAAATATCAGGACCTGCTACACTAGGGTCACAAGGTTGGAATGGAATGGGTTTTACAAGAGAGGCACCTAATATAAAACATAGAAAAAAGTCAATTATTTGTTTGGAACAAAAAAAAACAAGCTTCCGTCATGATGGTATCTTGGAGAGTGTCATGACAAGTCACCTCATTTTCTTATTGTGTATTCTTGGTACAAAATACTTTCAAGTTTGAGGTACAGGTCTATGAATTTAACTGATTGGCATTTAGAATTTCAGATGTCAAATTTCAGATGTCAAACCTTTAATAACTGGGAGCGCTGCCAAGTCTGGTACAACTTCATGGAAGATAAAATCATTGTCCTTCACAGCACCCTCAAGCCTTGATTTGAATAAAGCAATCAATCAATAATCACACCAAAAAAAAGAACTGTCATAAATCTAATCAGCCTACAAGAGAAGTAATAGACCAATCAATCAATTCACAAATCAATCAATCAATCAATCAATTCACTAGACTTATTCCATAAGTTGGTACCAGTTCTCTCTCTGTCGATATTTTTTGTCGCTAACAGGCTAGTTTGAGCGAAAAGCCAAAAAATCGAGGAGCGAATACTACGACTTATGGAATTAGTCTATCAATTCACAAATCAATCAATCAATCAATCAACCACATGTAATGGTCATCAATGATTCTAACCAACATTCAATCATCAATCAATTAGACAATCAGTCAATCAATCATTCAATCAATCAATTCATAGTTCCAACAAATCAAGAGCAAGCCTGTGATTATCCAATCAGAAGAAAGCGAACGAACGCGCTTGTCCCACAAATGCTTTTGATTTTTTGTAAATGACAGTATTTACGATAAAATCACTGTTCCTTTTGTTACTAAACATTTAAAAGTCAATCTGAGAAAGTCCTAGAGAAAGGATTTAATTATTTTTTATTTACCATACTTTTATTTTTTATTTACTTTTAGCACTTTGTGCTTTTTTCTGCACATTTTGATCCAATTCAAGCATTTTTCTAGATAAGTTTTTGACTTAGGAATCAAAATAAATCGCCCTCCATTTCACCTGGCTGCTAGCACTCATCTCAACTTCACCCTCCGATCCAACTTTGTTTACATTTTTTGTGGGACAACATGGCTGCCATTAAGTGTCCTCGTTAACCAAGTGTTGTCAGTACTTACTTGTTGTTGACCACATCAGCCATGAATTGTAGCAGTTCTAAAGTTCTTTCTGGTTGTCCCTTACAAATTGCATACATCTGTCAATTAGTCATAATACATACTATTTTGTTATCTAATTAGTTTTTGACACATACCTTTGACTGCTTTTGTGCTTCTGTGAGTTTTTGATGTGCAGCTTTTAAATAAGCAACCTAGAAGTAAAAAGTAAGTTACAATTAACAGCATTTATTTAATAATAGTACCTTTTTTGAACATTTTCTTACCTTTTCTCCAAACTTTTGATTTTCATGTGCATGATTTGACATGTGAATCTTGAATAAAATAACAAAATCAATGAGCAAATTATTTTCATTTTGAAACAATTTGAAACTCTTCAGAGACCCAGACATACTCAAGATTTACACATTAGGAACGCACANCTGCCACACTAGGGTCACAAGGTTGGAATGGAATGGGTTTTACAAGAGAGGCACCTAATATAAAACATAGAAAAAAGTCAATTATTTGTTTGAAAAAAAAAAACCCAGCTTCTCCATGATGGTATCTTAGAGAGTGTCATGACAAGTCACCTCATTTTCTTATTGTCTATTCTTGGTACAAAATACTTTCAAGTTTGAGGTACAGGTCTATGAATTTTACTGATTGTCATTTAGAATTTCAGATGCAATGATTTTAAATGCATGTCAAACCTTTAATAACTGGGAGCGCTGCCAAGTCTGGTACAACTTCATGGAAGATAAAATCATTGTCCTTTACAGCACCTTCAAGCCTTGATTTGAATAAAGCAATTCAATCAATAATCACACCAAAAATGGAATCAGTCTATCAATTCACAAACCAATCAATCAATCAATCTACTACATGTAATGGTCATTAATGATTCTAACCAGCATTCAATAATCAATCAATTATACAATCAATCAATCAATCATTCAATCAATCAATCAGTCAATCAATCAGTCAATCATTAAGTAAGACAATTAACATTCAATAATTCAATTGTCCAAGACAATTAATCAACCTACGTACGTATCAATCAACTGATCAACAAATCAAACAATAATTATTATAGACATACAGTAACTTGTCTTGTCAAGTTAACCAAGATTGTCAGTACTTACTTGTTGTTCACCACATCAGCCATGAATTGTAGCAGTTCTAAAGTTCTTTCTGGTTGTCCCTTAAAAATTGCAGACAAATATGTTATCTTTGTCAATTAGTGATACACATACTATTTTCTCATCTAATTAGTTTTGACTTTTGTACCTTCGACTGCTTTTGTGCTTCTGTGAGTTTTTGATGTGCAGCTTTTAAATAAGCAACCTAGAAGTAAAAAGTAAGTTACAATTAACATCATTAATAATAGTACCTTTTTTGAACATTTTCTCACCTTTTCTCCAAACTTTTGATTTTCATGTGCATGATTTGACATGTGAATCTTGAATAAAATAACAAAATCAATGAGCAAATTATTTTGATTTTGAAACAATTTGAAACTCTTCAGAGACCCAGACATACTCAAGATTTACACATAGGAACGCACAGGGGGTTTTGCGGGCTTTAGAATCCCTTCCTTCCTTGACAGACAAAGTCTTTGAAATACATAATTTATATGAGACTTTATTGGCCGAATACAATTTGGAAGTCAGTCGATTCTTCAAAAGTCTTGAAACTGAAAAATATAACTGGACTTCCCCCTCCCTGTCAAGAAAAACCCCTCTG